ATGGCTTTAAAAAAATATCGAGATATCGTATATCGCCATCCAGCTAAAGAATATCGAGATAGGAATTTTGGGTCATATCGCCCAGTCCTACCTTCAACTAATAGCCCAGAGTTAAATATCATTTGGCTCAGATGATCTTTACTTAGCAGTACAAGATAGTACACAGCAGGGATTCACTGTAAAAAGGAACAGTTGAAATAAGCTACTCACTGGCTATTGCACTCATTTCCACCAACAATTCTCAAAGACCTTATAAGAAATTACAGTAAGATGCAGATCGCTGTGCTCCACATTCTACCGATTAGGATTGAGAGGTTCATAAATTCTGACATTGCATCCATTCATCTAATATGATCCTTGTACAAACAAATGAACAGAATAAGAGGGCAGCATAATGGTCAGACTCCCCAACACTCCTTACCTTACCAAAAAGTCATTTTAACGCAACATTGTCTCGAGTCAAATAAAACCATTGAATATAAAAGGAGCATCTTAGAGGGGCGGTTTCTCAGAAAATAAGATGGGCAGAGGTTCAACTATCTGCTCCTGTGTCTAATGTTTGTAAAAAAGAAAAACAAACAAATATACTATCATTATTAGACTCCAGGAACCTGAAGAAATATGTGCACAAGGGACAAGGCCAACGATTAATGCTGAACACCTGTGATCGTCAGGTCTTCAGGCAGCACTGCATTAAAAACAGGCACGATTCAGTCATGGAAATCATTGTCTGTAAACACTGTATGCTGTGTCAAAGAAGAAGCTAACGGCATGGGGCCAAAGCTCTTCTAAAATGGTCCGAGGCAAAGTGGAAAACTGTTCTGTGGTTAAACAAATTGAAATTTGAAGTTCTTTTAGATAAATGTGGAAACTATGTTCCCCAGTCTAAAGAGGAGACAGACCATCTGGCTTGTCATCGCCGCCTAGTTCAAAAGCCTGCATCTCTGATAATATGGAGGCCCATTAGTGCTTTACATATTTACTAAGGATTATATGCCTTCAGTGTACGTTGATATAGTGGCAAACAGCATTTCTCTAATGCTTCTGCTGCTCAGGACAACTCACACACGATGTGATCCTTACTCCCAAACACGTTCAGTGTTGACTTAACTCTTACCATGTTGGGGCGTATGGTTTTCCCTTAAAGCTCTTTTCTTCTGAATCTCCTCCAGCTCCTTGCCGATCTTTTTCTTTTCCGCCTCCAGGGCCTCGACAATCCTCGCTTGGCGCACACGATGCTCTTCCATAGCCTTGAGTGAGTCATGGTAATGTAAACAACATTAAAAACCATCAGGGTAAAACATTCCGCCTGAAGCCAAGCTCCACGGTGGCTCGAAACACATCCCAAATGGTTAAACATAAAGCCCAGAGTCAGCGTATTTGCTAATGCTCATTCATAACATCAGAAAACATGAGGATGAGCAAACGAAAGAGGTGATATAATTAACGAATATAGATTTCCTGTATGCCTACTTCCAGAAAAGCGAGAAGATGACTGCTTGAAAATATCACACATTTCTTCCCCCCCCCCCTCATAGGGGAAATAAAAGAAAAGGCAACAGTCTCTTTCTGGAAAAACTGATGGTGCGGTGGTCACATTCCTGAGCTATTTTCACTTTTATGCATAAAAAAATTGCCATCAAAAAGTGATTGTTCAAAGTCCTGTTTAATTTTGCCCAATTCCCCTGCAAGGCCGTCTCCACCTGTACCTCATAATGTAGCACCTGAGATCCAAAGGGTTGCAAACACACAAAACCTTCACACAGGAGGCTTCCCATAAAGGCCGACTGGCCAAATGTAAATTGGGTATTCTTTTTTTTAACATGTGCACAAATCAAAATAATCGAGCCCATCCTTTTTTTGTCGTTTCCTTAATTTAATCAAAAATCCTAACCTGGGTCTCCATGTGGATACGGAGACGTTTCCTCTGGACATCCACCTCCTGCTCCAACTCCAGCTTGGCAGTTTTGAGCTCTGCCATCTGGCTGGCAACCCTCTGCTGCTCCAAGTCCTGTTGGCGCTTCCGCTCATTCTCCTCATTCTGAAGGAACGAAATGCTGGCATTTATCTGTAGTTTGCATAATCTGACAGGGTATGAGAGTGTGCAAAACTCTACTATGCTTAAAGGTTCTTTAAAAATGCACAAGTGTTAAGAAAATACACCTAACAATTTCAATTTGAGGTTTTAGTTTACAATATTACAGGAAATAAAAATTACAGACTGTCAATAATCTAATACAGGATTACAATAATAAATGACTGATAATATCATCCAACTGGCCTATTTCTAGATTTTAAAAAAAGAAAAAAGAAGAAGAGAAAGTCTCGTATACCAGCTCTCTCTCCAAGGCTCGGATCTTTTCTTCATAGAGCACCTTCTGGTCAGAAAGCTCTTTCTGAGCCACTTCTTTTGCCATCTGGATTCCTTGCATCATCTCCTGCTTTGCTTTAAGATGGGCTTCTTCAATTTCTGCCTCAAGCCTGAGAAACACAAAAATGGGAATTCAGATTTTGCTAGTATGGAATTACATTTGATCAGAAAAGCCTCCGTCTGGCCGGTTTTCCCTCCACTCACAGCGCTCTTTGAGCTGCAAGGAGCTCGTTTTTAGCAAATTCGAAATCTTTATGCCCGTCGCCTTCGCCTGTCCAGCATGACGCTCTCTTCCCAGACTGCACCTCTGCTGGGTGATTAAAGCGGAAGTAGTGATCTCCTCCAAGAATCACCCTGTCGCCCTAGAAGCCGGACAAGAGACACAGATCCAGAGAGAAATCATTTATGAAACGCTTTGGGCCTTGCGTGGACAGACCGTTGCGTTTGATTTACAGTGAGTAACAAAATGAACCGATAGACGGACAAAAAAGTTAGAACTTGCTGCTTTACTTACATGGTGTAGGACTGTGGATTCAGAAATGAGGTTCCCATTAACAAAAGTCTTGGCGTTTTCCATCGGAATGATGCTGACAGTATCGTGTATGTTGGATATAACACTGAAAAAAAAATATATACAGAAAATATAAACTATTTTAAGTGAAATGCAAAGAAAGTGGCCAAATATCTTCGTAGGGCTGCATATTCCTTGGTTATATCCATCTCGATGCAGCTATTCCACCTGACTGACCAATATGCTACTGTTTTCACACCCCCCTCTGAGGAGTTTGTCTCACCAGTGCTGGTCAGCAATCAGGGCGCCAGTCAACTGGATATCGTGGCTGGAGTTGGACTTGAGCTTGCCCACTGTGGTGCGACCCTCTTTGATCATGTAGAGAAGCATCTCGGACAGCTGAGGGTCCTCGTTCAGATTCACCAGGTTGGGAAGACGGTTGTCCACTTTGAAGGTCACTCCTGCTTTCTGATCACACAGAGCAAAAATTATTTAGGGGGGGGGGTTCATCTCCTTTGTTTTCAGCTTCTTCTTTAACAACATTAGTGTTTGAACACAAGCATGGTGGGTGCAGGATGAAGAAATGAAGGTTACACCGAAAAAAGAAATTACCTGCAACTCTTTGGTCTCTTCACGCTTGCGAATTTCTGCTTGCTCAAGTTTCTCCCTCCACGCCCTGTCGGAAAATTTGAAAAAATATATTTATAACCAAAAGCAAAAATGACATAAGAACAAATTCTACCACTAACATCACCCACTGCTAAGTAAACCCCAAGTCATATATTGATATCAGCATTTATAATCGCCGATAAATAAAAAGGTTTTAAAGAAGAGATGGGAGAAACACCCTTCAACCAAGTTAAGAGGGTTGACGTTGCGTAGTTCATCCACCAGAGGGCACTCTGCAGCTTTCCACTTGAGAACACAAGTGTTTGGAAAGCAGCAAAAATAACCAGCTGATCAAAGCAGAGCATCATTTCCATCTTTTCCTTCAGGATTAATAAAGCATTTCTGATTACCACTTGCTGTGGTAATAAATCCTGATTATATTGAAAGAGCATTGTCATAATATCTAAATAACCACACATAACAAATATTTTATTTAAAAAAAATTCTACATTAGTTGGGCTCTACTTAATGTCTTTGTCATGCTAAAAATGTCCGATTTTTATTTCTAATATCAGAACGTTGAATGTTTTAGCTTAATAAAAATATACACTGGAAAGAATTAAATCTTTCTGTTATTAGAACTCAATAACAAACTGTGTGTATCAAGACTGCGCAAATACACAGAAACATATAGATCACTGTAAATATACTATGACTTTGTGTGAGTGTGAAGAATAACTTTGAAACTAGCTTTCATTTGACCCCCTCCACTGCAAAAAGAGAACTGTTCATTTGAGGATTCAGTAGGATTATAGCAGTAATGCTGACCGATTGGCCTCAATCATTTCCCTCTCTTGCTGACAGAGTTTATTCCTCAAGGTGGAGATCTCCTGCTGAAAGAGCCTCACTCTCTCTGGTTCGACGCCCTGGGAGCTCATCTGGGCCGCTCGCAGCTTCTCCACCTCTGCCTTCAGATCTGAAACACACAAAGTTCATCCAGATTGAGAAAACTGTTGCAGCAAGATTATGAAAACGTGCAGATACGATGCCACTTTAGAGAGGAATATTCAGATTTGGTCAGCGAACTGCTCGATACTGTCCCTCACTGAAGTTGGCTGGTCACATTCACTTTGAGCGTCTCCCGCTGACAGGCATCGTGAATGAAATCCACAGCAAGAGCTCCCCTTAGTGCTAAAAACGTCAAACAGCAGCGCTATCATCTTATGAAAAATAATACTTGCATGACA